GGCCCCAGTGCTGCCGCCCGCATGCGTCCCGCACACCCAATTCGGCACACCCCTCACACGTTTCGTGGCCCCATAGGGAGCCCCACCGAAGGCCCCAGTGCTGCCGCCCGCATGCGTCCCGCACGCCCAATTCGGCACACCCCTCACACGTTTCGTGGCCCCATAGGGAGCCCCGCCGAAGGCCCCAGTGCTGCCGCCCGCATGCGTCCCGCACACCCAATTCGGCACACCCCTCACACGTTTCGTGGCCCCATAGGAAGCCCACCGAAGGCCCCAGTGCTGCCGCCCGCATGCGTCCCGCACACCCAATTCGGCACACCCCTCACACGTTTCGTGGCCCCATAGGGAGCCCCACAGAAGGCCCCAGTGCTGCCGCCCGCATGCGTCCCGCACACCCAATTCGGCACACCCCTCACACGTTTCGTGGCCCCATAGGGAGCTCCACCGAAGGCCCCAGTGCTGCCGCCCGCATGCGTCACGCACACCCAATTCGGCACACCCCTCACACGTTTCGTGGCCCCATAGGGAGCTCCACCGAAGGCCCCAGTGGCGGCGCTCACATGCGCATGCGTCCCGCACACCCATTTCGGCACATCCCTGACAGGTTTCGTGGCCCCATCATCCACCGGAGGCCCCAGTGGCGGCGCTCACATGCGTCACCCACACCCACCCAATTCGGCACACCCCTCACACGTTTCGTGGCCCCATAGGGAGCTCCACCGAAGGCCCCAGCGGCCGCGCTCACATGCGTCCCCGCCACCCATCCCGGCACGCCCCTCACAACAACAGGTTTCGTGGCCCCATAGGGAGCTCCACCGAAGGCCCCAGTGGCACCGCCCGCATGCGTCACCACCCGCACCCAATTCGGCACACCCCTCACACGTTTCGTGGCCCCATAGAGAGCTGCACCGAAGGCCCCAGTGGCGGCGCTCACATGCGGCCCCGCCACACATCCCAGTACACCCCTCACGCGCTTCGTGGCCCCATAGGGAGCTCCACCGAAGGCCCCAGTAGCGGCGCTTACATGCGTCTCCGCCACCCATCCCGGCCCCCCCCCCCCCCGCAGCAGCATCATGTTTCGGGGACCCATAGGGAGCTCCACTGGAGGCCCCAGTGGCGGCCCGCACATGCGTTTCCGCCACCCATGTCGGCACGCCCCGCGCGTGTTTCATGTCCCCATAGGGAGCTTCGCCGAATGCCCCAGTGGCACCCATCTCGGCACACCCCTCACACGTTCCGTAGTCCTAGGGGAGTTCCATGGAAGATGAAACCCGCAGCTGCGGTACTGACAACTGCATATGGTTGGGTTCTTCGCCAGGCTAATTGTTCAAACGTGGCGATGAGATCGGTCGCATGGAACATGGTTCACGAGTGCGGATGTAGTGGTCGAGGCGTGATGGTACATCGGATTACGTAGGCTTGAAACTGGAAACGGTCAGGCGAGACGATGCGATGGCCACCAGGATTACAAATGCATTGGCGCAGGCGCTTGGTGATGCAACGGTTCAAGGAATCAGGGTGCACCTTAGGGTGGGGACGCTCCGTCTCTGCGAAGCCAAAAGTCACCGTATATTGGGGTGACGACGCATCCTACGCTGGAGACGACGGCGGTAGTTGGAAACCGTGCAGGTTGGGTGAGAGGAGATGCTGGGATCGATGGTGCAATGACGCAGGCATCGGTTGTCACGCGGACTGACGCGCGCGGGTGCCGTGTCGCACCCGTAGCGAGGCTGTGATAAAGGCGTGGCAATGGGGTGAGGCATGCGCGTGGTTGCACACTCGTACTGATGCATTGGATCAGGTGTCATGGGGCATCTCTGGACGGCCGACGCGAGTTGGCAGGAAGGCGGAAATGCGCTACTGCGGTGGCCGAGGCGGGCGGCCAACGCAACATCATACTCAAGGCTGTCGATTGTTTGCGGTTGAGCTTTTCACACCCGAAAGACATCGATATGGGGGCCCGTCGAACGCTTTTGAGGGCATCTGGGGATTTGTCCGGCCCCCCTGGACCTTGGCGACATACAACGCAGGCGTATACTCATTGAGCTGGACATGCATGTGGCCACAAGGATGCAAGCAATATGATACACGTGGTGGGCGGGCACGTCAAGACGCAGCTCCCCAGACGCTCCCCTCTTGACCACGTCTCGCGGCCTCGGGGGCATCCAGGACACTACGCATTCAACCTGGAACGCCCCCCGGGCACCCCCCCTTGACCGCGTCTCGCGGCCAGGGGGGCACCTCGGGACACCACACCTTCAACCTTGAACGCCCCCCGGGCACCCCTTCTTGACCGCGTCTCGCGGCCTGGGGGGCTCCAGGACACCAAAATTTCATCAACCTTGGACGCCCCCCCGGGCACCCCCTTGACCGCGCCTCGCGGCCGGGGGGGCGCCTCGGGACACCGCGCCTTCAACCTTGAACGCCCCCCGGGCACCCCTTCTTGACCGCGTCTCGCGGCCTGGGGGGCTCCAGGACACCACACTTTCATCAACCTTGGACGCCCCCCGGGCACCCCCTTGACCGCGCCTCGCGGCCGGGGGGGGCGCCTCGGGACACCACGCCTTCAACCTTGAACGCCCCCCGGGCACCCCCCCTTGACCGCGTCTCGCGGCCGGGGGAGCACCTCAGGACACAACGGGGGGGATACCCGAGGAGAAAAGAGAGAGAGAGAGAGAGAGACAGAGAGTGGAGACTCGAGCGGAAACCGGGAGAACCAACCAACCTTCAACCTTGAACGCCCCCCAGGCACCCCCCCTTGAGCGGCCGGGGGGGCGCCTCAGGACACCACACTTTCATCATCCTTGAACGCCCCCCCGGGCACCCCCCCTTGACCGCGTCTCGCGGCCGGGGGGGCGCCTCGGGACACCACGCCTTCAACCTTGAACGCCCCCCGGGCAACCCCCCCTTGACCGCGTCTCGCGGCCGGGGGAGCACCTCAGGACACAACGGGGAGGATACCCGAGGAGAAAAGAGAGAGAGACAGAGAGTGGAGACTCGAGCGGAAACCAGGAGAACCAACCAACCTTTAACCTTGAACGCCCCCCGGGCACCCCCCCTTGACCGCGTCTCGCGGCCGGGGGAGCACCTCAGGACACAACGGGGGGGATACCCGAGGAGAAAAGGGAGAGAGAGAGAGACAGAGAGTGGAGACTCGAGCGGAAACCAGGAGAACCAACCAACCTCCTCGCTCCTCGGTCCTCGCTCGTCGCTTCGTGCTCCTCATCGTCTTCCTCCCCCCTTTCGTCCTGTTCGTCATTTCTGCCCCTTCCTAATGCGAATCCTCCTCCTCCTCCTCCTCCTCCTCCTCCTCGTCCTCGGTCTCGTCCTCCTCCTCCTCCTTCGTCTCCTCCAGATCGTCCTTCCTACTCTTCCTCGTCCTCCTCGCGCCGCCGTCGCCGTGGCCGCTCTTGTCATCGTTGGGTGGATTTGGAGAGGCCTCTCCAAAGTCCTCGTGCTTACCTCTCCCACTCTTTCTTCCTCCTCCGCCTTCTCTGGAAACGCACCGAACCACGACACCAGCGGGGGCGTAGGAGTCGACGACGGTATGCGTGTGGAGGAGATCACGGAGAAAACGGAAGACAGACAACAGCGTGCTGCCTGGACCCGCACGGCCTGCACATCCTGCCTCCGCGCCTGGGTTGTGGGTCAAGAGCATCTGGGATGGCTGTTGGCGTCCTTTGGGAAGCCTCTGGGGGGCTTCTTGGAAACAATTTTGCGGCCTCTTGGGGGCCGGCTCGGGGCCTCTTGGGGCCTCTTTTGGGCGTCCTGGGGGCATCTTGTGGTCTGTTGGGAGCCTCGTGGGGGCCTGCAGAGGATCTCGGGGGCTTTCCAGGGGCGGAGGGCTCGAGCTGTGAGTCCGATTTCCGCCTCTTGGGTCGCCCTTGGGGCCGTTTTTGGCGCCTCTTCAGCCGTCCTGAAGCCCTCGTGGGCCGTCTTGGGGCCCTCTTGGGCTCCTCTTGGGGCGATCTGGGGGGCCTCAGGGGCCGTTCGGGACATTACGACAATCCCAAAGCCGAATCTAGTAAAAATGCACGTTTTCCGAAGGGATGGGGACGATTTTTGCTCCTTCTAGACCCTCTTGGGGCGCTCTTGGGGCTTTCTTGAGGGGTCTTGGGGACCTCTTGTGCCGCTGTGGGCAGGTCATGGCGGGCTCGGGGGTCTCGCGGCTTCGAGTCGAGCGTGCCAACGGCTATCTTCGCCCACCTGTAGGCTGAAATACCCACTCCGGGACACCGAAAACGGGCCCCGCACCGCGAGGGCTAAAATCGGTACCAGTGGGGGGGGAGTTTGGAAAAAGTGTGCGGCCCCGGGGCCCCGGGCCCTGGACGCCCGTTATATTATATATTCAAATCTGAGGTTTCTCGTCGCTTCGGTCTCTGAGGATCATCGTTGGGCCCTAGGACCGTCGAAAAACGACTGAGGATGCCAAGGTGTCCCTGGGGAATGTATTGGGACTTCCCAGGACCCCACATTGAAGAAATAATATCTTCGATCTCCTAAGGGGAACAAGCCGCGGCACGGGCAGCTATTTTCGGAGGTGCGCGCAGACCTCTTGAGCTGGCGCTGGACCCAAGAAATTCGCGTTGCACTTCGATGGCTTGCAGCCAAGACCTTGAAGTAAGGACCGCTTCGGGGGCCCGGGAGGGGCTCTTCCTCTCGGGCGCCGTTCCTTCGATGCAGGTCGGGGAGCCTGTTCGTGGCCGAGGCTCGCCGTAGCCGGGCGGTGGCTGCATGGCAGGTCACCCACGGCGGCGCGCAGGTGGCCGCGCTTCCCGCGCCGCTTCTCCCGGGGGGCCTCCGCGAGGGCGCGAAGAGGGCCGCACGCCGCGCACCGTGAGGGGGCGCGCAGGGGCGCGGGGCGGGGCGGCTACCCTCCTCCTCCTCCTCCTCCTCCTCCTCCTCCTCCTCCTCCTCCTCCCCCTCCTCCTCCTCCTCCTCCTCCCCCTCCTCCTCCTCCTCCTCCTCCTCCTCCTCCTCCTCCTCCCCCGGCCTCCGAGGACGCCAACCCGCTGGGCCTGCCGGCCCACGCGGTGCCCCACGGCCGCGCCGACCTGTCCTGCCTGCCCCCGCCGCCACGGCGCACGGCCTGAGGGGCCACCGCGGCGGGCGGCCCGGGCCGTGCCACGAAGCGTTCGTGGCCCTCGAGCTCCCCTCGCGTCCCCGACGAGGTCTACAGACAGCCTGAGGACCGCGACGCGCTGCCTGGGCCGAAGGCGGCGCGGGCGGCCGGCCACGCGAGCCAGACCGCGGACGAGCCTGCGAGACAAACGAGGCCCAGCGTCCTGAAGGTGACCGTTTTCTTGTTCATTGTTTTGCCGATCGGCGCGGACCCTCGCACCCCCCATGGAGTAGACCTTGGCTGTTTCTGGCGCCTGATTCAGGCAGGTGGAGCCTCCTCCACAGGACGCACTGCCGCAAACGGTCGCACCGAGCACAGGTCTGGAGCCAGACCCCCCCTCCCCCCCCCGCTTCCGCCCCACGTCGAAGATGAATCAGAAAACGTGGACCAGCGTCCTGAAGAAGACCAGGGTGCTCGGGCCCGCCGGGCGTGGCCCGCCCGGCCGGCGCCCGAGGCCTGTCGCAGGAACTCCGCCGCGGGCGGCCGCCGCGGGCGCGCGGCATCGAGGGGCAGCCGCCTCTCGGGCGAGGGGCGGCCGCGGGGCCCCCCGGGGGTCCGAGCGGCGCGGCCAGGGCGGCGCCCCCCGGGGGGCCGCGGGGCGCTCGGTGGGAGAGGGCGGGGGGCTCCTCTGCCTAGTTTGCCTCCTGCTGCTGCTGCTGCTGCTGCTGCTGCTGCTGCTGCTGCTGCTGCTGCGCCTCGTTCTCGGGATCTTCCTCCTCCTCCTCCTCCTCCTCCTCCTCCTCCTCCTCCTCCTCCTCCCTCCTCCTCCTTAGTCTCCTCCTCCTCCTTAGCCTCCTCCTCCTCCTCCTCCTCCTCCTCGTGATCTCCCTCCGCATCCTCCCCCTCCTGATTATGATCCTCCTCCAGTCGTCGTTCTTCGTCGCCATAGCCGTCGGTGACCTTTTGTATCGAAGACGCCTACGGCGAATCACCGCCGCCGCCTGCCTGTTGGAATCGCCCATGTTGCCCAGCGTTGTGGCGAGATCTCTGCCAAGCTATCGGACCATGTGTTCCCACAGCCGGTGTGGAAACCCTTCGGGGAACACTCGGGGGAGGATGGCGAGGAAGATCAGGAGGAGGAGGAGGAGGAGGAAAAAGTAGGGGGCATCTTGGGAGCCTCTGGGGACACTCTTGAGGCTTCCTGGGTGCTTCCTGGGAGCTACTTGGAGGCATATTGGGGGCCTCCTTAGGCCTCTTGGTCTCGGGGACCTATTTGGCCGTCTTAGGGCACTTGTGGCCCATCTGAAGCCGTTCGAAGCCGTCTTCGGAGCCTCTCTGGGGCGATTTGGGGCCCTCTTGGGGTGCTAGATCTTGGGCGTCTTGGAGGCCTATGGGGTCGTCTTGGGGTTCCTTGGGGCGATCTTGGTGGCCTCTTGGGTCGTTCTGGGGCCAACTTGGAGGCCTCTGGGACGATCTTGGGGCGATCTGTGGGGGGCTCTTGGGCCGTGTCGGGCCATCGGAAGGCCGAAAGGAAGCAAATGCCGAAATCATTCAAAAACCAATGGCAAGTCAATGATTTTATTTCCCAACCATCCTGTGGTGTCGGGTCCTCGTTTTGAAGAAACGGTCCCCGCGTCCTCCTGTCCTCTCCTGTCCTCTCCTCTCCTCTCCTCTCCTCTCCTCTCCTCTCCTCCTCCTCCCGCTCCTCCTCCCTTGTCCCCCTCTTCCCTGCGTTTCACCCACCCAGTACAGCGTTTGGTAGCCCCATAGGAGCTCCGCCGAAGGCCCCAGTGCTGCCGCCCGCATGCGTCACCCACACCCAATTCGGCACACCCCTCACACGTTTCGTGGCCCCATAGGGAGGTCCGCCGAAGGCTCCAGTGCTGCCGCCCGCATGCGTCACCCACACCCAAGTCGGCACACCCCTTACACGTTTCGTGGCCCCATAGGAGCTCCGAAGAAGGCTCCAGTGCTGCCGCCCGCATGCGTCACCCACACCCAATTTGGCACACCCCTCACACGTTTCGTGGCCCCATAGGAGCTCCGCGGAAGGCCCCAGTGCTGCCGCCCGCATGCGTCACCCACACCCACTTCGGCACACCCCTCACACGTTTCGTGGCCCCATAGGAGCTCCGCCGAAGGCCCCAGTGCTGCCGCCCGCATGCGTCACCCACACCCAATTCGGCACACCCCTCACACGTTTCGTGGCCCCATAGGGAGGTCCGCCGAAGGCCCCAGTGCTGCCGCCCGCATGCGTCACCCACACCCAATTCGGCACACCCCTCACACGCTTCGTGGCCCCATAAGAGCTCAGAAGAAGGCCCCAGTGCTGCCGCCCGCATGCGCCACCCACACCCAAGTCGGCACACCCCTCACACGCTTCGTGGCCCCATAGGAGCTCCGCCGAAGGCCCCAGTGCTGCCGCCCGCATACGTCACCCACACCCAATTCGGCACACCCCTCACACGTTTCGTGGCCCCACAGGAGTTCCGCCGAAGGCCCCAGTGTTGCCGCCCGCATGCGTCACGCACACCCAATTCGGCACACCCCTCACAAGTTTCGTGGCCCCATAGGAGCTCCGCCGAAGGCCCCAGTGCTGCCGCCCGCATGCGTCACCCACACACAATTCGGCACACCCCTCACATCCTCACACTCTTCGTGGCCCCATAGGAGCTCCGCCGAAGGCCCCAGTGCTGCCGCTCGCATGCGTCACGCACACCCAATTCGGCACACCCCTCACACGGTTCGTGGCCCCATAGGAGCTCCGCCGAAGGCCCCAGTGCTGCCGCCCGCATGCGTCACGCACACCCAATTCGGCACACCCCATCACACGCTTCGTGGCCTCATAGGAGCTCCGCCGAAGGTCCCAGTGCTGCCGCCCGCATGCGTCCCGCACAACCAATTCGGCACACCCCTCACACGTTTCGTGGCCCCATACGGAGTTCCACCGAAGGCCCCAGTGGCGGCGCTCACATGCGCATGCGTCCCTCACGCCCAAGTCGGCACACCTCTCACACGTTTCGTGGCCCCATCATCCACCAGAGGCCCCAGTGTCACCCACACCCAATTCGGCACACCCCTCACACGTTTCGTGGCCCCATACGGAGGTCCACCGAAGGCCCCAGTGCTGCCGCCCGCATGCGTCACCCACACCCAATTCGGCACACCCTTCACACGTTTCGTGGCCCCATAGGAGCTCCGCCGAAGGCCCCAGTGCTGCCGCCCGCATGCGTCACCCACATCCACTTCGGCACACCCCTCACACGCTTCGTGGCCCCATAGGGAGCTCCACACCCAATTCGGCACACCCCTCACACGGTGGCCCCATAGGAGCTCCGCCGAAGGCCCCAGTGCTGCCGCCCGCATGCGTCACCCACACCCAATTCGGCACACCCCTCACACGCTTCGTGGCCCCATAGGAGCTCCGCCGAAGGCCCCAGTGCTGCCGCCCGCATGCGTCACCCACACCCAATTCGGCACACCCCTCACACGCTTCGTGGCCCCATAGGGAGCTCCGCCGAAGGCCCCAGCGCTGCCGCCCGCATGCGTCACCCACACCCAATTCGGCACACCCCTCACACGTTTCGTGGCCCCATAGGAGCCCCGCCGAAGGCCCCAGTGCTGCCGCCCGCATGCGTCACCCACACCCAATTCGGCACACTCCTCACACGCTTCGTGGCCCCACAGGAGCTCCGCCGAAGGCCCCAGTGCTGCCGCCCGCATGCGTCACGCACACCCAAGTCTGCACACCCGTCACACGCTTCGTGGCCCCATAGGGATTCGGCACACCCCTCACATGTTTCGTGGCCCCATAGGAGCTCCGCCTAAGGCCCCAGTGCTGCCGCCCGCATGCGTCACGCACACCCAATTCGGCACACCCCTCACACGTTTCGTGGTCCCATAGGGACCTCTACCGAAGGCCCCAGTGCTGCCGCCCGCATGCGTCACGCACACCCAATTCGGCACACCCCTCACACGTCTGGTGGCCCCATAGGGAGCTCCGCCGAAGGCCCCAGTGCTGCCGCCCGCATGCATCACGCACACCCAATTCGGCACACCCCTCACACGCTTCGTGGCCCCATAGGGAGCTCCGCCGAAAGCCCCAGTGCTGCCGCCCGCATGCGTCACGCACACCCAATTCGGCACACCCCTCACACGCTTCGAGCCCGAAAGTGAGCTCCACCGAAGGTCCCGGTGGGTGTGCCCGCATGCGTCCCGCACATTCATTTTGGCACACCCCTCACATGCTTCGTGGCTCCGTAGGGAGCTGCACCGAAGGCCCCAGTGCTGCCGCCCGCATGCGTCCCGCACACCCAGTTCGGCACACCCCTCACGCGCTTCGTGGCCCCAAGGGAGCTCCGCCGAAGGTCGCAGTGGGTGTGCCCGCATTCGTCCTGCACACACATTTCGGCATGCTCTTCACACGCTTCGTGGCCCCATAGGGAGCTCCCCAGAAGGCCCCAGTGGGTGTGCCCGCATGCGTCCCGCACACCCATTTCGGCACACCCTTCACGCGTTTCTTGACCCCTCACACGTTTCGTTGTCCCGGAGCTCCACCGAAGGCCCCAGTGGGTGTGCCCGCATGCGTCCCGCACACCAATTTCGGCACACCCATCACACGTTTCGTGGCCCCATAGGGAGCTCCGCCGAAGGTCCCAGTGGGTGTGCCCGCACGCGTCCCGCGCACCCATTTCGGCACACCCCTCACACGTTTCGTGGCCCCATAGGGAGCGCCACCGAAGAAGATATTCACAATTGCGGTATTCACAATTGCATATGGTCTTCCGCTTCCCGACGGCCTAAGAGGCCCCCCAGATCGCCCCAGGACGTCCCAAGAGGGAACCAGGAGGCACCCAAAACAGCCCAAGAGGGCCCCCAAACGGCCCAAGACGTCTCCAAGACGGCCCAAGAGGCCCCCAAGACGGCTCCAAGAGGGTACCCAGACGAGGGACCAGAACGGACAGTTCGAGCCTTCGGCCCTGAGAGGCTCCCATCGGCCCTGAGAGGCTCCCAGGAGGAACCAAGAGGCTCCCAAGAGGCCCCGAAGAGGACCCAGGAAGCCCCGAGAGACCCCCAAGAGGCTCCCAAGAGGCCCCCAAATGGCTCCCAAGAGGCCCCTAAACTGTCCCCCAGAGGCCCCCGAGAGCGCTTCGAAGAGACCCCAAGAACCATCCATGAGGACTCTGACCCGTGTCAGCATCGTCGTCGCCGCCGCCGCCGTTGTCGTCGTTCCCCTTCAGGGTTGTCGGCACTGGCCGTAAGGCCTTCGCAATATATGTATTAGCTGATTTCCTGAAATTAGAAGAAATATGTGACCGCATCGTTACCGATTTCTTCTTAGATGACGCGTGTGCAAGTTTAACCAGGCCAGTCGAGGGGCGAACGCATTCAAACATGGAAGCTCGGAATTGTCGATTATCTAAAAGACATGGCGAATCAAAAGGTTGAAGTTGGGCCTTTACAGCTACATAGTGTGCAAAACAACGATCGGCAATGGGAAGGAGAGTCCATCCACCAACAAAGCATCGCTGTGCGT